CAATTCCTCCATTGGAGCTGTTTGAGGCTAGCAATCAATAATGCCGGGGTCCATTTCTTCCTGACTGATTGCTTCCCCAGCAGCTGTTCTTTTTTCAGAAGCTTCAATCATGAGGACGTCTTCCCCTTGTTTAGAGACGATCCCTTGTTCAGGGAGGTTGTCCATATCAACGTTAGCGAAAATGACGTATGTTCTTGTTTCGGTTTTTCTTAGGGAGTTGGAATAGCATTCTCTGGCTCCTTTCTGGTCCCTACCACCAATGATCATGTCGATCTCTCGGATGGGTTCATGTTCATTGCCTCTGGGGGTATCGTCACTGTCTCTGGCCCTCCCTAGGTTCTTTAATGTCATTATCCCTTCCTCGTGGAGGGACATTCCTAGTAGGCCGACGCTATTCATTATTCCGAGGCTATGAGTTTTGCCTATTAGAAAAATTTCTTGGGGAGAATCTCGCAACGTCCCGACAGTCCTATGTTCGATGCCTATTAGATTGGTGATACGAGCAATATTGTGTGTTCCTATTTCTAGGTTCAGCACCTCACCCCCTTTGTAAATTCCTTGGGTTGGAATGACGCTGGCGCATTCTAGCGCTAGGATTGACTTCTTCGTAGGGGAGGGTAGATACTGCATTGAGTGTCGCAGCATCGAGTTCCTGTCCATGATTCATTGGGGCCTGATTATCCATCAAATGGAAAGTGGGACCCCTTCCCATTCGCATCTGTACAGGCAGCAGGCCTTGGCTGACCCTATTCCTATGATCTTTCAGCTCCTCATTCAGGATTTCGCGCCTTATCATTTCTAGTAGCGCATCATAGGTGACAGGGTCTTTGTTGTGCACATCTTTCCAGAAAAGAGAGTTCATGTCTAGACCTCCTCTTAAGGTAGTCAAAGCTTATTTATCCGTGACTTGTATATAGTATGTCATTTCGTCGATAAAGAACGAAGTAAAACTTTTTAGCGATTCACCTTGTTGTTGTCTCATATGTTGCAACATATAGATGGGTCTTTCTCCCTCCTTGCTGGTTCCGAAACGTTTCAAGAAATTTCTCTTGAATTCTAGTCAACTTCGGATGCTTCCTTCTAGTAGCCTGGCGTTCCAGATTCCTGCCCCTCCACTCAGGGTCAAGTGGAAGGCCCTGCATTTCATCGTTGGGTGCCCCTTTCAGATTCATATGTGTTTTTTAATTGTCCATATGTTTAGTGGGTTGCCTCTCCCGTCATATTTTTGTATTTTAGGGAGTACGAAGTAGCTTAGTATGGGAGCACTCCTTATGGCTTCGGAGAAAGGAGAATGATTATTATCATCATCAAGGTCATAAGACCTCTATGGCCCATCTGGGTTCTCATCTTCCCTTAGGTTGGTCATGGAAGGTTGTTGGGAGGTTCCTGCTTCGCTCATAGCCTGTTCTCATTTTTTGTGCCTATTTCTAGGAGGACGGACATGAGGCGCTTCATTGTCATACCTATTGCTAGGTACCTGAGGTGGATTAGCTTGTCTATTTCTAGGCCTCCTCGGACTTATCCTGCAAAAAACGCTTACGGACCTTTAGGGTCTATCTTCCCGTGGCCTTTCCGAGGCATGATTGGTTGATGAATCTACTTCGTCCTCGCCTTCCTGAGGAGCTTCCATCCCATAATAGCGATGTCCAGCCATTTGACTATGGACCTCTTCTTCCTCGTGGTAATATGCTTGAGCATCTGGGAGGACATCTTCGGGGGTTGTGTATTGAGAGGCTTGATAGCCTCCTTGTCCTTGCATGTTCATCAACATTTCATGCATAGCTTGGTTCTGCTGAGTGACGTTCCTCATGTTGGCTGTCATCGCTGCCATTTCCCTAGGTAGCCTGGGTACAACTCCACCTCCGCCCCTGGGACCTCCTCTTTTGCGCATTGGAGGTCTCGGTTGGGCTGCTGGGCCAGCTTGTGAGGGTTCTTCTTCTTCTTCAGGGTGTTCCCTCGTTCTTCTAGGGGCATTTTCGTTAGTGGAAGTTATCTTTCAGTTACTTAATATACGAATTTGTTCTCTTCTTCAGGGGCTTCAAGTTCTTAATGATTCCTTTTGCAAGGATGTTCCTTTTTCAAGGACAAGAACCTATCTTCGCCAAACTTCTTAGAAACGTAACTTTGGCTTTTTCCACGCGTGTTTGTGGTTAAGTGTAAGTATTCCCATAGACGACGCCAATATGTTGATCTTAAAAAATGAACTCAACAGATGTTGGGCCCACTCTTGCCATGTCAAGCACTGATCCGGAGCGTTTTTATCGAAAAAAGGAACTGTAGGCTGGTTGGTTCGGACGAGGGAGGTACTTTCCGGCGAGAGACAAATGTTCAGGCTCCGGCGATTGGATTTAGACAGCACTCACGCTATCAACACGTGTTCAATCCGTTTTCCCTCACTAAATTGCTCTTTTTCAATGAATATGTGGAATGATAGATATGAGAATGTATAATATATTGTTAAAATGTTAATATATCTTTTTCACTTGTATTTTATCAAACAAATCCAAGCATGCAAGTATGTTCTTCTCTCTATTGATTGTACCATCCCTTTTTTTAGTACAAAGAGATGCTATTTATACTAATCTAGCCGACATGGGGACCGTTGGATCGGATCCATGTGGCGACATTTCCTAGACCGAGGTTTCACATCATTGTCCATCCATTACATTCAATGTTTGAGAATGGGTCAACCGTGCTAATAGTAGGCTGACACTGACACATTAACACTACAGACACTTTATTACAAACGTCACATCAATAAATTCTAATATATCTCTGAATCTGTTGGGGAGATCATCGGCATTAGTATGCGTTGAGGCCAGCTCTAGGCTTATGGACATCTGGTGTGATTGAGCCTCGATGCTTTAACACTTCGGATAGGAGGAGCCTCTACCTTGTATTGAGGGTCTTTAGGTAGACCTTCGTTACTTGGGCTGGAAGGGACATCGGACGGATATAGTTTCGGCACTCGCATGACCTCGGACAGTTGCATCCTTTGTTGTCTTTGACTTGCTAACTTTCCTGCTGACTTTTTAACTGGCTTTATGTCCACTTGGCTACGGAAGTACGTGATTTTCCACGTGGAGTGCAGACTTGGAGCCTCTGATTTCAGGGGGTAACATGTTGCATTTATAGTAATCACAAAATTTATATTTTAATTTTAATTTCACCATTATCTGTTACTAAAACTAGCAGAATTCATAACCCGGGCAACGGAATTCACAACTCAAAAGTACATATTAGGCAACACAATTTGTTCAGATACTAAAGACTAAGGTCTGTTTGATTCAAAAATGGAATTTGGGTGGAAAAAAAACGAATTGTAGGGAATTGAAATGACTAGAATTTGTTTTACTGAAAATTGTCAATTAATTGTGTTTGATTGGTATAATTTTCCACTTGGAAAATGTTGAGATTTTTTATCTTTTGGTGTTCGTTTAACTTTATTTTTCATAAAAATTGACAATTAAAGGGATATAATTTCTTACAATTGAGGATATAAATTTGTTTGGATTGCCCAAAAAAAAAAAAATTGAAAAATTTTTGACGTTCGTGTAACCTTGTTTTATATGGAAATTGTCAATTAAAGAGATAATTTTTTTACAATTGAGGATATAATTTGTTTCTATTGCAAAAAAAAAAGGATGGAATTTCAATTCTCACATAGAATGTGGGAATTTCAATTCAACTAAAACCAAGAAAACTAGCGAAGGTGGAAAACCAATTCCAAGGAAAAAAAAAAGTGCCATCAAACATGGCAAAAATAGGAAACGGAATTTCAATTCCAACTTTCAAGGAAAATAAGGACCTATCAAACAGGCCCTAAATTCTACGATTTTTTTTTTAAAGAATTGTACATAAATAATGTAACTATACGTTCAACAAAGTCACACATTTCAGGCTAGTTCACAAATTCCGATTACACCTCAAATAAATTATTCTGCCACAATTGAATCGTGATGAAGACAGCTGAATCTTTATGCTTGTCACGTTTAACACTTTGGTTTCCTTAAATTGCAATGACAAAATTAAACACTCAACTGAAATTTACGTCTGTCATGCACCTTGACCAATTATGATTAATAAGCCCCTTTTTACTTGGTTTCGAAAATCAAATTTTTAATAAATTTTTATAAAAATTAATAAAATATTTATTCTGTATATATATATATATAATGTGTAGTTAAAAATGAATTTGGTGAAAAATTAATTTAAAAAATTGGGACCTAACATAACTTAATCAACTAACAAACGGAGGCTAAATATATGCTGCTTATCATCGAAACATCCATCAACATTCAACATAGATTAGATTACAATGTCAAAGAATGTATTGTCCAATACATTTGGACTCATCGACACATCATCCATCGATATCTTCTATTTGCTAAAAAGTGATGTGTTGAAATTTTACAAATGCATTGCGGGGACGGCTAGGAGGGTAACAATATTTCAATTTCCATCAACATGGTTTGCTAAAATTCTTTCAAGGGCATCCCGATTGCTACAAGTGATGGTAAAGGCCCAGTTTTGAAATTTGAGGTCAATAAATTTGGTAGTAAAGTGACAGATTACACGAGACGTTATGGAGGCAATCAAAGCCCGACTATTATAGAGTGTCGGGTCAAGCAGTAGAAGCGCTTCTCAAGGCCTGACTGCAGAGTGTTGGGTAAGGCTGTAGAGGCAAGCGTGCTGCCCGCATACGTAGGTCGATGCAAAATACTTGAATGAGCCTGATAGCTAAAGACTCTGCCGATGAACATTGCTGGACCTAACTTGTTTTAGATGTGCCAGTCCAGCAACACAGGCCACCTCAAAATGGTGGTGTGGCCGAGTATACTTCTCTACCCATCGCTTATGAAAAGACACAAATGTACATAACTACAGATATGGAGTCATGAAGAGTAAGGGAACTAAATTAAACAAAATAAACACAAAATGAGCACATCACAGAGCAATGTTTGGGCCAGCTCTTGGCTGAAGTTCAAAAAGTTGAGCAGTCAACCAATAAAATTGTGTGAACGGGTGCCCATTCCATCCTCACGAGAACTTTTACTGCAGCAGCTGCTATTAGTAGTGCTATTGCTATACCCATGAGGCGACGTCAAATCTAAACACTCCTCGCCAAGACCGCCAGCGGCATTGCCAAGTCCCAAAACCTCACCCAACGGTCCACCCGGCGGAGAACTCAACCAAGAAACAGTATTCAAAAACCCATCATTTTCTTTAACAGTATTCATAGTCCCAATACCCATTGCTGCATTTTGATCATCACCTTCACCAATCCCAATTCCCCTTGACATTGACAGGGACAAAGATGAAGGTGAAAACCTCTTCTTGTTTAAAGATGCAGCTGACCCTTCATTGCCTTCTTTCTCTCCTGTTGACCATGCATCAAAAAAATGCCTGGTTGTCTGTGTTTTTTCAGAGTTTAAATCAAGGTTCGTTTGTAAATAGGCCGACTTGGGGTGGTCAAGAAACGAGTTCATGAAATCTTGTTTATCCTCGTATTGAAATACAGACAAATTATTCTTGTTCTGGACGGTGTTGTCTCTATTATAATATCCCACTTTAGATGATGACTGCATAAGTTGATGCCATTGTTGGTTACAAGTAGAGACAGGGAGGACGATGGTGCTACTGCTGCTTCCACCTCTCATGAACCATTCGGTGCACCTTACGCAATATCAACAGTCACAAACCAACAAAAGAAATCAGAGCCCACATTTATTTGCACGTCGACAGAGGAGACTAGACCCACAGACTACTATAATATAAATTTATCATGGATAAGAACAAGAAATGTATTTAATAATTGCATAAATAAACAATATTTTAACTTTATACTTCGGTACCGACTTCCGTGTTTTCCACCGACCAAATATGCCATAAGTGCCTCACTCGTTATTATACAAGAATTAGTTCGTTGTATTAGAGAGAGGTGAACATAACAAATAACAAGATTAACTTAATTTTTCCTTCTATTTTATCCCTAGTATTAGGGCATGTTTGGCAAGATTTCTACGTTTTCTGAAAAAGAATTTTGTGAGGAAGTTATCTTAAATTGTTTTTAAAAGCTGTTTCAACCCGACAAAAGGCTCATTTGGTATATTTTTTGCTTTTGATTCACGTGCAAAACATTTATGAGGAAGATACCTTAACTTTTGTTTAAAACTAATTTTTAAAAGAGTATTTTATTCAATAAGTGCTTTTAGAGAAATGTACATTAAACCAACTTTCTTTAAAAGCCTCAAAAGTTGCATTTGGAATCGTTTGACTAATTTTATAAAAGTGTTGATTGCTCTTAGAGGAAGGTGAACATGACTTTCTCTAAGAGTACTTATAGAATAGAAAGTTCTGTCAATTAAAAATTAAGATAACTTCTTTCAAAAGCCCCATAAAAAGAAAGGCAAAAGCAAAGGTCATGCGACCCTCAAGGGTCTCCGAACTAGAAAAGGCATTTCATTAAAATTAGTCTCGAGAGCAGCTTTTGAATTTCAAACAACCGTTTTCCAAAAAATTATTGAAACGTGTTTAAAAAACATTTCTTAATCTGCCGCTTTTGGCTTAAAGCCGTGCCAAACGACCGGTGTAATAACAAGATTTCATTTTTTTTCCTACTTTAATACTGTATATCCAGTCCTATCCGAGTTAATATCTCAAATTGAAGTAAGCCACAAAAATTTAACACTGAGAAAGAAATTCTTGAAACCCTAAACCCACCTGGTTTGGTCATATGGAGCAGTGAAGTCCATTGGTTTCTGAGTGGTTGGAGTATTAAGTGGAAGGTGAAGAGATTGTTGAGAATTGTTGGTAGTAGTACTGTTGTGGGATTGAGTTTCCACAGGCTTTCTTGAACGGCGTTTACTTTTGTGGGCATGGCGCTCACAGTATTTCTGATCAGGTGCTACATCCCTTGAACACCTCCATTTCTTCCCATCTGTTCTCCTGCACCTCCATGGCTCTGGATCCGACCCCCTCGAGCACCTCAAATCCAAACCAGATGCTACTCACAAAAAAACTAAATCAGCATAATTGAAAACCAGACTATCAACGTGGATTTAACAAAAAGAAACATGATTAAAAAATTGGAATATAAGGCAATTAAAAGGGAACTTCACTTTTAGATTGGAAGGCAATTGGGGCATTTGAGAGTTGCAAGAGGAGTTGAGGAGGAACAGGGATAGAAGCCATTATGTACTTGTTTATCATTGTCTGTCTCTCCAGTTCTTGCCACTGTGTGTCTGTAAAAAGAGCTTTTCCAGACATGAGCATGCCTCCTGCAAAAAAGCACCAATACTCAAAACATTTTAAATTTTATTTTTTTTGGATCTTTTTTCTAGTCAAAAAACCATTTCTATACAAACAAATCCATTTTTCTTTTAAAATAGAACAAGAATCAAAAAGAAAAAAACTCATCACAGTATCTGCAACAATTGTACAAGATAAAATAGAGCACCTTTGAGAGCAGTATTGTGAGAGCTCCTCGGAAAAACTGCACCGCCGCCGCCTGTAGAACCGTAGATATTGCTCACACACCCTACCGCCTGGTTATTTGGGTTACAAAAATTGGCCCCGCCGCCCCCACCGATTCCAACACCGGAAAAGCTATTATACTGAGAAGAAGAAAGCTGATAATAGTGAGGGAAAACCATGGCCCTATTACAAGTTGATGATTCAGTAGGTTGCACCTGCATCTTCAAACCCAACCCAAAATCACATTCTAATGATGAATCAATCCCAATTCTATTCCCATCCCCCATTATTTTTTCACCTAAAGATACAAAATCAAAGCCTTCTGCAAGAACCCTACTCCAAAAAGCTCTCTCTCTCTCTCTCTCTCTCTCTCTCTATAAGAATACATACGGTGCCGCCATTTTGAACTTGAGGTTATGGTTTTGGAATTTGCTTCCTATGCTTCCAACATTCGTTACATTACAATTTACATACATACAAATCACATAGTGGACCCACATACACACATTACAAAGTGTGGGACTTAACAGAGTGAAAGTTTTGACAGTCAACGCTAAATTGGTGTAAATTAGTAGTGGGTGGTATCAATAAAAAAATGGAAAGGTACAATGAAGTCTCAGTTTGACTTTTACTTCTTTTGTTAAATTTGGAAATATCTGAGCTGTAATTTTTACTGTCACAGTCATTATATATTCTGAAATTTTCCAATTGTTATAGATCTTTTATTCTTTAGGATGCAATTCGTCTTAAACACTGTTACTGTTACTTTGTCCAAAAAATACTAGATATTGGTTAGAGCTCAATCTTAAAATAAGTTATGTAATAAATATACGAGATGAACTATAACTTCATTCTATTAACCTTCAAAGTTATGAGAGCTAAACGCATAGATGATCGAACATAACATAAGTAACTCGACCAAAGCTAAAAGTTCAATGTGACAAATGCACAAATAACAAATGTTATATATGCAGTACTGATGTGTCACGAAATAAGTTATGCAGTACTGACGTGTCTAATAGGCTATGCGGTGATGTGTCCACAGAATAAGTTATTACCACCTAAATCTATAAATAGAACGACTATAACGTGCTGGCAAACTAGAGTTATGGATGACCTTCTTGAGTCTTAACAAACTCACACCATAAATGGAAGTCGAAGAAATTGGTGAAGTGTTGTAGATGGTCTTTTTTCCACATGTCAAGTTCAAGAATGGCCCTCCCTTAATTTTTCTTTTAATAGTGACATTTCAATTCTACAATAAACTAAACAACTGAAACTCGAAAAATGACAAATTTACTAAGCAGTTAAAACTCAAAATATTGAATTAGTGAATAGAAATTAGAAACTTCAATTTTGTTTGCTGAAGGTAAAGATAGAATTAAGCCTCACGTACTGGGATTGGTTGACAGAATTCTTACAAGATGCTGTCGTGGTAGCACCCTATTTGCTTTTTTTTGTCTCTCATCTTCCAATGAATTCCCGCAAATGTTATTTGTGAAACTTTCTTGTGAAAAAAATATGTACTTGTAGCATGATTCACTAAGATAACCTTCCTTCTTTACATCAACTTGAGCTCGGATGTGATTAGGCATATATAAAATTAAAGTATTATTTAACAATCATTGTTTCAAAACTATTTTTTCTATATACTCATATATTACCACATGTTTACACAATGAAATATTTTACACGTAAATTTAAAACTTTTTTTAAATTTCTAATTACACATTCTTCAAAATCAATATTTAAAACTTCATTTTATACAAATAATGATTGTCAAACAGGTATTAATATTGTACCTGAAATAATTAATATACGACAAATTACCGACACAAATATTCAAATCTCGTAATAAATATTCATACTATTTTTATCTTTAAAATTTTTACCTTACGCTTAAACGACCCGACAAGTTAACAAGCAAGCTTACCATTATGTAGTCGATTAATTATTGTATAGAATGTCTCACTACTACGGACTCGTTTAGCATGATTTTTGAAAAGTCAAAAGGAGATTTTGAAATTTAAAAGTTGTTTTTGGACTTGCTTGACTAATTTTATGAAAGTGATTCTTCTAGTTAGAATATCTTTTAGAGAAAACTAATCCAATGTGACTTTCTCTTAAAGCGTTTCAGTAATAAAAAATTCTTTTAAAATTTAGTTTATAAATAAAAATAACGATAATTTTCTCCAAAATCTCTTCTGTAAAAAGTAAAAGCAAAAGCCATACGTCCCATACGAAACGAACACTAGGTCTTGATTGCAGCACTATTCATGCTATTTCTTCTTTTGTCAAAAAATAATAAAAATAAGTTAATAGATTAAGATGGACTTAATTCGATCTGAATAAGAGAGTCATCTATCTAGTGATTGACGGTCTCCGTCAAAATACGTCGCTTTCGTTCGGCACACCGTTTCCTAGTTTTTAGCATTGAAAGTCGTAAAACTTAGGCCCACCGGACTTGACTATGTGGTCCATGAACCGTTTATGCCCATGGGCTTCGCGTCAAGTTTTCATGCTAATTTATTGTGGTGAACACACTATCAAATTGGACAACTTATAAAAATCCCCTTAAAATTAAGGGGCTTTGAAAAATTATATGAAAAATATTTTAAAAGTAAAAAATACTATATAAAATTATGTGTGTGTCACATTTTTTCTTTAAATAAAAAAGTTGCATGATGTCACTTTTTAAAGTTAATGTCACTTTTTTACAAGTTAAGTGTTACTTTTTATTTAAAAGTGATGTTTGTCACTCAAAAAAGTGACAAATTTCACAGAAGTAACAAAAAATGACAAATATTAAAATAAGTGACAAAAAAGTGACATAAATAAAAAAAATGACAAATGCTAAAAAAAGTGACAATTTTTTTTTAAAAAGTGACAAATATTCAAAAAAGTGATAAAAATTCAAAAAAAAAAGTGATATACCAATTAAAACATTATAATCGGTTCAATAAAGTGTCTAGAACTTTTTATTTTTTTAAAAAAAAAAGTGACACGGCCACTTTCATTCTCTTTCTCCATTCACCCTAGCCATCTTTAAGTCAGTTTACCAATAAAATACAATCAAAACGTTAAGCATATTTAAATCAATTCATCACTATTGTCATCTACCAACTCAACCAACGACACACCCTCTATTCCTCCGCTTTCTCTATCGCCACCACTATTACTACCAGCATATCGAAGCCTAAGCATAAAAAATTATACATATAAAACAGAAGAAAAATGAACTCAAATACGAACATATTAAAAAAAAAATAGATACTATAAAAGAAATTGACAAAAATTAAAAAATGTGACAACCACTTAAAAAAAATAACAAAACACTAGTCAAAACCTTAAATTATATCATTTTATACAAGTTTTACTGTTCCACCCCCACTCCACCATCACCATTCCAATATCCAAGGCTCCAAAACCATTTATGCTTCCTTTTTCCGATACCCACCAAAAACTAAGAAAACTCTGCTAGAATTGAAATTTCTTCTAGTTTCTTTTGTGCTTTAGCCATCAAAGCATTAATTCTTACTTTGAACTCATCATATAGTCTTTGCAATGCATAAACATTGCGTAAGAATGAATTTGATTGCACTAAATTCACCAAATATAGCAGAAGAAACGAATTCATCTAATTTACCTTCATGGCCCTACGATCCTTCACGAAAGTAGGTTGAACCTTATCTTTTAAGTAGTCAATTTTCTCAGAGAAGTAGAACTCTGGAGCTCGAGGCTTAATGCTTTATTTTTGGCAAAATGGCAGCCACCTCTTCACAAACTCAGCCGTTTCAACCAATTCATCAAACAGAAGCATCGAGGCTCCATCGTTTGACACATAGCCACTTTCTTAATTGGATAATCAACAGTTAAGATTGAAAGGATTGTGTTTGCAGTAATAATCAGAACCTAGAATTGAAAAACCTTTAGAAATCACAGAAAAAGCTAGAAATTGAAAAGGAGTCACATCTAGAAAGATGAACAATTGTTGGTTCGATTATGGTTTGTTTTAGAGGCTGTTAGCGAGGAAGGTGGTGGAGTGGTTGCAAATGGCAATGTGTGTGGCCAGTGACGAAGTTGGGGCATAATGGAGTTTTGGGGATTTTGGAGGTTTTTACCATGTGAATTACGGAATGAAGAACTTGTGGGCCGTGAGAATTAGTTTTCATTATATTAATCAATTTTCAATCTTTTCGGCCGCATTGGGCCTAATTTTCCCAGTTAAATTTGAATAATACTACTTGAACATAATAGGATTACACAATGATTTATATACAGATGATATAGTGAGATATAATTGAGTCAGAATTTCTTCAATACTCAGAGAAGTAGAACTCTGGAGCTTGAGGCTTAATGCTTTATTTTTGGCAAAACGGCACCCACCTCTTCGCAAACTCAGCCGTTTCAACCAATTCATCAAACAGAAGCATCGAGGCTCCATCGTTTGACACATAGCCACTTTCTTAATTGGATAATCAAGAGTTAAGATTGAAAGGATTGTGTTTGCAGTAATAATCAGAACCTAGAATTGAAAAACTTTTAGAAATCACAGAAAAAGCTAGAAATTGAAAAGGAGTCACATCTAGAAAGATGAACAATCGTTGGTTCGATGATGGTTTGTTTTAGAGGCTGTTAGCGAGGCAGATGGTGGAGTGGTTGCAAATGGCAATGTGTGTGGCCAGTGATGAAGTTGGGGCATAATGGAGTTTTGGGGATTTTGGAGGTTTTTACCATGTGAATTATGGAATGAAGAACTTGTGGGCCGTGAGAATTAGTTTTCATTGTATTAATCAATTTTCAATCTTTTCGGCCGCATTGGGCTTAATTTTCCCAGTTAAATTTGAATAATACTACTTGAACATAATAGGGTTACACAATGATTTATATATAGATGATATGGTGAGATATAATTGAGTCGGAATTTCTTCAACCAAATAAAAAAAAAACATTTTCACTCTCTTTTTGACCATTATGTACAAATAGCATTACCGATTAAATTTTTATTTTTAGTTTTTTTCCATAAGAGAATGGCGGATTAAATTATAAATTGTTATTTGTTGAAATTTCCAAATTTGAATAGCATATTTTTTTAATGATATATACAATAAAACTCTTTCATCGAGGAATGGGAAGAAGAGCCTAGGCACATTAGATGAACACTTGAGTTGCAAGGATAATCCAGTTAGATAGACTTCCTTTTATAGGCCTATTTGAACATACGGTTCCTGCGGAAGATGGTGACTCGTGTGGTGGGAAACCTTCCCACATAGCTCGGGAAGCACTGAATTAGGATAAGAGGTTCATCACTATATCATTGTATGCAAGGGGAGCTCGCTCGATTCACAGATTGGTCTAAAAGTAGGGATTGAGAGATTGACTAGGCTTTGTTTTTCTCTATCTTAGACCATCTATTCCAATAAGGAAGAGGAGCAGGTTCTGAAACGGTTCTAGCAAACCGCATTTTGACCCAAGGTAAAACTTTTGTGAGGTACCTCTTTCGATTGCTTTCTAGTGTCATAGTTCTGGTAGTTTTTTTCTAAAGTCTGTACTTCAAAATGTATAGGTAGTTTTCTCAAATGACAATGGGAATGAAATTCCAATCATTTTTATTCTCATCTTGTAGATTGTGTGATATATTCATTCATTACCAAAACAAACTAAAACTACACCAAAGTGGAATGGTCAGTGTAGAAGCTAGAAGTAGCCTATAGTAGTCGGCCTAACCAAAGCATAACGATAACATAAAATTAGCTAACTAGCTGATAGGCTGAATGAGAGCTGCTATGATATATAATATTTAATGCCATCTCAATTTCTCATCTCCCATACATCCTATATTTTTTTCGAGGAGAAGCCCTCGAAAATCTATTCTTCTATCCAATTCACAGTGTTGTTTAGATTTGCACTAAAAAGATAAACAAAATAAGGGTTGCCACAACCGCGGAGGCAGGATTGAAGCCTTTTGTGGTCGTCCTTTAGGGATTATTAGTAAAATGATTCACAGAAATTTTACTTTATTGTTTCGATTGTAAGATGCTATGAGTGTCTTCTTTGAACCATCTTCCCAAGAACATAGTTGAGGAAGGTAATTTTTGGCAACGACCTTTTTGTTTTGCTTTTTATCTTGTTCTGAAAGTTTAAATATACGTAACGCTTGATATATATACATTTTACTCTTGTTGACCTTGATTTCTGTAAGTGAAACGTCATCAACAAATTTTATGTCCACTCAAATCTGCGTAGCTTTTCTTTTGCACATTTGGACAAACCGTTAAGAGCAAGTGACCTGCTCCGATGATGGAGAAGGTGGTGGCAAGCACTCTGAAGATTAAGTCAGTCAACTTGTATAAGTATATTTGAGTGTAAAACGGACGGAAGACGTGAGCCATAATAGTGTACGAGCAGCTAGGGTAGTAGGACTTATTAAATGAGGTGTAACAACTCTAATAATTGAAATTGGGTTGATACTTAGAGTTCGAATGCTATAGAAAAATAATAAAGCTGGCTGCAATACAAACATGAATTCAAGCATAGATATAGTTCGATTCAGTCCGATATTAATAGGAATTAAATTGAACAGTAAGGAAAATTCTACCCTTCAAATGAAACAGTTTCATGTTAAATGGAAAAAAAAAAAAAAATTAGACTAAATTGACTGGCTCAAATTTCTTCAAAAAAGAAACTGAAAAATGATGTACAGATTTTATAATTGCACTTTCATACTTTATTTTTGGCAGAAAAGGTGTTGATTCATTGCTACATTTTATTTATTGTTAACGCAAAATGGACAAAGATTGTCTCAAATCTCAATACTCGTTTCTTACAAAAGTTGTTTAGCTTCTTTATGTTACCATTTCTGACAGCTCAAAAGAAGGAATGGTAGACAAACAGACACTTAATAGGAATTAAATTGAACAGTAAGGAAAATTCTACCCTTCAAATGAAACAGTTTCATGTTAAATGAAAAAAAAAAAAAATTAGACTAAATTGACTGGCTCAAATTTCTTAAAAAAAGAAACTGAAAAATGATGTACAGATTTTATATAATTGCACTTTCACACTTTATTTTAGGCAGAAAAGGTGTTGATTCATTGCTACATTTTATTTATTGTTAACGCAAAATGGACAAAGAATGTCTCAAATCTCAATACTTGTTTCTTACAAAAGTTGTTTAGCTTCTTTATGTTACCATTTCTGACAGCTCAAAAGAAGGGAAAAAAACAAAAAAAGGATGAAAGAGAGTTGTTTTTCTCTCATTTTTCTTAAACCTTTTCTGCTATTGCAAGCAAATTATTTTATTCCTTGATTAAAAAAAGTAGACCAAAAACACTTAAAACTTGTTATGAGCCTGTTTGAACCTCATTTTTTTATCCAAAATATATTTTGGAATAATTTTCTGAAGGAGAATGTGGTTCAAAAATTTGAATTTGTGTTTAATATTCTTTTATTGAAAAATGTGTAGTTGAAAATAAGAGAGAAAAATGTATTTTGAAAATAATAGGGACCAAACAAGAACTAAGAATAAATCTTATGTCAAATAAAGATAAAAATATAAACCAACTGATAAGTGCGTTTTACATACTTATTTTGATCACGAAATATGGACAATTGTTGATTGATATGTTGGAATATCGCTTAATTCTATGTAATTTCCGTTTTGTAGGACAACATTGATGAATGTGACGGAATTTAGGAGAAACAAGTGAAAAATAACTAAAACTAAAGAAAACCAAAGTCCCTACCAAGATGCAAATAACCGAAAGATAACCCGAAAGAGGAATTGAAGATGCATATGTCAAATTGAACTAAAGAATGAAGCATTAGAAGAAGAACAGTGGGAAAAAAGGTCGAGAATGGCGAAACGAGTTCGAGGATCAAATTGCAAGAATTTGGTAGTTCATAATGCTATGCGGTCGCATTGGTCGAATCAGGGGATCTCAAGGCCAAGTTAAGTTCTTCTATGCGGTCGCATAGTTAGTTTCTGACGTGAAAATTCTGATTTCCTTATTTGAGTGAAATACTTATGAAAATAAATCTTTGGATGCGTATTTAAACCCTAGAGCCGTTCAGAACGAAATACAACATATGCACAAGGGTTCTGAGAGGAGAAAAAGAGCAATAACGCGAAGAACAACACCACAAAGCGAAGATTAAGTCAAGAATTCAATTGGTGGTGTCGTTTCTTAATTGTTTTTCTGATCTTCTTCTTTCCAACATGCTAGACTAGGTTAATTTTGTACTATGGAACGATGAACTATGTAATATTATTTTTATTTCTTAGTTTTACATTATTGACAATAAAAACACGTTTTTGACTATTTGAATGGTTTATATGGATTTATTTTCTCTACGATTATTGTGCACGTTAATTGCATGAGTGTTGTGATCTATTTCATGTATTCGAAAGAATTTACTGCGTATAAATCATCATAAAGTCCGACAGATGATAATAATATACCGTTATACTTTATGTAAATCTTTAAGTGTTCATAAAAATTAATGCATTCTTGTATATTCGCATCCGTCATAGAGATATAGTCGGTAACATATGAGAATATATTTGACTTTACTCGAGAGAGACTATTCGATAATTTAGGAACATTGATTCGCCAATATTTCAATCATGTGTCAAAGTGTAAAATTAGATTTAAAAAGATTATTACTTAGGGATTCGTGATCCTAATACATGCATCATACATTCGAAAACTTTAAATTACATTCACCGTTATTTGCATTCAGTTTAGTTAAATCATTCTTCCTTACTTATTAATTTAGTTATAATTTTATTATAACAACGTTGCAATTTCATTGTTTTGGTTAAGGTCATGTTAATAGAACTTCGACTAATCAATCTTCGCGGGATGATATTCGAATTCAAAAAGTCCACTTTATTACTTATTAATGAATCGTATGCTTGTGGTGGTTTTAATTCAAAATATATTTTCGTGAACACCAACATATAAGGGTTTGAATTACTCCTCTTAACAAGGTTGACATTTGAAGTCAAAACTTAAAATTTTAATACGATATTAGGACTCATTAAATTCCAACCAACAATTCAATCCAATTAAGAGTCAAACAAACACACTAATTTTAAGATTGATGTACTCAAACGAGCTACAATCTTGCAAAAACATATTAAGGGACAAATCCTTCATCAAATAAAGATGCAAATATTAACTGATATATAAAAGCTTGGTTACTTCTTTTAACAATGTTGATCTTTTAAAATAAATTTCAAGTCTTAATATTTTCATCTTTATTCGTTTTAGAATTTATACCTTAACAAGTTACAAAAAAAAAAACTTTCACACACAGTTAAACACAATAAAATGGAGTATACTACCACACATGAAATTTACTAAAGTCAAATTTCATCAATTACAACCAAGTTTATTTTACTGCAATCTGATATTCTGACCAGAGAATACTGGTCCTGAGACGCAACCCATTCCCCCAAACGACCTTAGTTTATAACTAGAAAGAACAACATCAATGATCAACAAACAAAAAGCAAAATTAATCTAGAAATTGATTAAAAAAAGTAAAGACAGGACCCTTCTGTTTTAGTAGTAAATTTAGCTGAGCCTTCTGGCACCCCAACTTGGTGCCCACATGCTTGCTTCTGCAGCCAATTGCTCGAACCACTTTTGGAAATTCGACGAACCCTTTAATCCCTCGTTTAATATGAGGATTTTCAGGCTCTGAGGAAGCTCTTCTCTGAATTACCACTGAATGAAAGTTTCCATTGTTATCAGTATTATTACACCCCGGTTTATCTGCCAAAACAAACCTTATTTTGTCCCTGTGAGAAACACAACAAAATAGAACGTTCAGTGACTAATTTGGAAAAAAAACAAACGAAAGCTATAATTTGGATGACTAACAGTGTTTTTATATCTTGATTAGTAACACTGGAAGCAGTTGTAGCCTGATTATGATCAGTATCATATTCTTGATTCTTTCCTTCTTTCTTAAAACTTGATGATTCAATTTGAATCCTTTTAGAGTCCTCAAGTTCTAAAAGTTTTTCTTCGAGCAAAAGCTTTGCTTCTGCGAGCTTCATTTGGACGCGTTCTTCCCTTATAACCTCAGACACATGTAGCATTTTCCTTTCTTCCTCCATTTCTTTCTTCATTCTGTTGAATTCGGCTTTATCATAAGATACTTCTTTAGCAAGATCTTGGCAAACTCGCTCCAATGCTTCTCTTCCTTTCCTCTCCACAGAAAGTTCCCTGGCCAGTCTTCTATTCAAAGACTCCATTTTTTTACGCAATTTGCATTCACATTCTAGCTCAGCCTTCAACCGAACAATCTGTCCTCGAGCAACTTCGAGTTCAGATTCCATAAGGGGCTTGATAAAGGTTAAATCCCAGAAAGAAGCCGCGATTTTTCGTGCAGAAATAGGTAGATGGAGATGATGAATTTGCTTGTGAGTAGGATTTTCTTGTTGATGAGAAATATAAAAGGGATTCTCGTACAGTTTCCAGGTTGGGCAAATGGAGGTGGTGATGGGGGCCATGGGAACCGTCTGATTCTGGGAATTTTCTTGGCTTCTGATCATCATCACCATTGGAGGGGTGTTGTTTTCTTGGTTGTGCTTTGTAGACGAAATGAAACTTTTCTTGATTAGGACTTTCTTTTTGCTTTTGCTTTTGAGTTTTGTAATTGATAGTAGGTCCATTCTACCCCATTGATGAAGCTGCTTCCAATGGGGATTGTAAAGGTGAAAGTTGCATCACATGCACCTCTCTGTATTTTATAACTATGGTGGATGGTGGGGTTGACCCTATGATCTTTCTCTCTCCCGTGTGTGCGTGTGTAGAGATAAAACATATTTACTCCGACTCAGACGGAGATATACGATACTGTCTTATGCGTGTCATTATCGAAACCTATTATAAAGCAGTGTTTCTTTTGATATGCTGGCAATGTTTTAAAAAGATAATTATAGTAACTCTCATGTCAAGGTACTACGAGCCTTCTACTCCATGCATCTAACCTGCTGGCATAGTTCATTGGTTCCATCGACTAGACCAGGAGCGGATCCATGAAAAATTTTAAGACAGGCTAACACACAAATAATTTTTATTTATTTATCTTTTTGCTAAAGGTGAATTGGGTTGAAGGATGGGTTGTAGCACAACCCAGTCCCCCTAGATCCGCTAATGGACTATTTCAGTGTATACAGAGGTTCACTTGAATCCCTATAATAGAATGAATTTCATTCTTCTATCTATTTAGCTTTTGTTTGATAGTCATTATTGAGAAAAATGATGTTTTGAATAGTGATTTTTTTGAAAAATGTGGTTAAAAAGTTGAAAAAAGATTTACGTGTAAAATATTTTATTTTAGGAATGTGATTAAAAATTAGTATGAAAATTAAAGAATTTTATTTTGAAGGAAGACAAAAAAAAACCTTAATTTATCATTATGTTGATTTAAGATATAATTTGTAGCTTATGTTGACAATATTGCCTTGATATGAATAATGCTACTTTGCTAGAAATTAAATGGCAGGTATAGTGATATAATATGTGTTGGCAAGACGTGATTGAATAGAAATGATGAATGTTTTTTAAACAGTTCAATAATAGGTTGTCATGCGACATTATGTCAATGATTATATCAACCATTATGTCTCTGTCAACTATTTTGATGTATGATTACGGGGTGGGAGCTTCACTACACATTTGTATCAATGACTAATTAACTTGAGTCATTACGTTTTAAGTAACGAACTTAGCACTTGATATTGGCTACAATTAGCACTTGTTTTGAGTACAACCTTTTTGATCAATCAAGTTCACGTAAAATCCATTAGCAAGGGGGTAAAAGTTTACACTAATTCATATCATCAGTGGATACTGCATATGTATGACATCCTCGGGCACGCTGTTATTTCTCAGATAAAGGCCAAAAATGCTTGCTCCCCCACAAATGTGAAGGAGAAAGAAAACTGGTCACAATCCAGCAAGGGGTAAAAACAATGAACAATATATGATTGAGAAAAACAGTCGGTAGTAATCAGAATGCCCAACAGGAGGCAATAAATTGATGTCTCAACTAGCCAACTGGTGGACCAAATTGTTGTACTACACAGAATGGAGACAGAACACTCTCTCTATCATAATTCATTACAGAAAATAAGTAGTACTGGTACGTTTCTTTGTTATTAGATAAACATTCAGAGAGAGAGAGAGGCCTTGAATCCTTGTCAACAAGTGATATGGTCACGGTTACAGTCCTCTTTCCAGATTAATGAAACAGGGAACTTACGGGGGAGGAAGGCTTGCAGATGCCCAGCATTCTCGCGTTTACATAATTTATTCGTCTAAATTTCTACTGCATGTTTCATGATGGAAAAAGGATCAAAGACATGTTGGAAGAAGAAAAAAGCAGAAATGGGGCAATACAAGCATTCGTGAAGTCCAGATCTATCTTTGGTTCAAGGTTTACTCTGGCATCCAAGTAAACTGGGAGTTATGACAAATTCTTCAGCCTCCCAACTCAAAGAATGGAAAGTGACTCCTCTCATTTCAAATATGCTAAATAAAATAAATAAGATCTTTTAATTCTTAAAACTTGTATTCTTCTTTTATAATTGCTAACTAGAGTAACATGATTAGAAAGGTGAATCAGAATCAAGATTTTCTCTTGGTAAGATGCTCAATCAGGAAATCAGCCAGGTTCACATAATCTAAAACTACATATCATGCCATCCGACACCCTGGAAAAATATAAGAACTAATTTCATGGGTATAGTTTTCCCATATCTAACAATTGGACATGCACACTCCATTTGGACCATGAATTTTAGAAAAGGAAAACAGAATAGATCTAAACTGATATTCCTCATTGTGTCCAATTAAAATAAAGACTAATTTTAAAATATTATTTGTGTGTATTAAAATAGCCTGGAAATATAAGAGAAACGTAATATATATTGTATAATTATTTCCTCTTACAATAAAGTTTAGTCTGTATTTCTTCCTTTTCCAGGCAAGTTCCAGAGCCAATTGAGCATTAACACAGACTGTTTGAGTCATATATAAATAAGGACTTTGCTTGGTGTACATAATTATAGTACATAGGGGTGTCCATAACCCTCACATGGGGTGGAGCCCACANATTGCGTCCAATTAAAATAAAGACTAATTTTAAAATATTATTTGTGTGTATTAAAATAGCCTGGAAATATAAGAGAAACGTAATATATATTTGTATAATTATTTCCTCTTACAATAAAGTTTAGTCTGTATTTCTTCCTTTTCCAGGCAAGTTCCAGAGCCAATTGAGCATTAACACAGACTGTTTGAGTCATATATAAATAAAAAGTATCTCAAAGGTGTAGCAGGACAAAGTTAAGACTAGGATTTGAATCCATTTCTGTTCTAGTTGGTCACTTGGATTTATTTTTTCAAATTTTCAAATCTTAGTTAAATGCATGGAATAGATAAATCCAAAAATAGTTAAATAATAAGCAACCTAGAAATATTTAAAAATATATCCAGGGTATCATTTCCAATTTTCCACTGATTATTGGTGCTATTTCCGGGAAACTTGTTATCAATAATGATAGGCTTCATGTTAGTTAGGCCAGAAGGACAAGTCATAAAACAAAAAGTTTTACTTGATATGAATGATACAAAGCAGAAGTTAAAATTTTTAACAAGGACTAATCTTTGGTGTTTTTAGAAGAAATAAATAATATGATTTATTATTTGTAACTGAAACACCCGAGTGGAAGTTAAGCGAGACAAAATGAAGACACATGAAAGAAGCTGGAAAGGCATTTACTTGGTCTCTCCAAACCCTTTACATCTTCAAAATTAGATGAGAAAGGCTTAGGAGCTTAAAGCTCCACTTGTTTCAGGGCTAATAAAGATAAAATTACCTTCTAATGTATCCAGATGGTCCAATGTTGTAGAAAAAATCTTGCCATGCTATGCACAGTTCGGTATGATCCAATATTACAAAAAATTCTTGCCATGACATGCACAGTTTGCAACCAACCAAAAAAAAAAATGCGAAGTCCGCTTTTCTAGAATTATATGCTAACATCTTTTAGTAATAATTGGAAATGCTCAGAGTGCAGAAGAGAATTTGTACTAGATTGCTAATATAATTATGACATTACTGATGACAGTTTTAAGTCACCAACTGCTCATTAGAGCTTCTCCAAGACTCTTTAAATATGACATGCTCTTTATTTTAAAGAATCAACCTTTAAAATCATGTTCCAAGAGTCTCTTTAACTTAACATTTTAATTTAGAGAGTGAGTTTGACTTTCCAAATTTGGAGACAAGCCAAACCCACTCTCTATAATTAAATGCATGCATTCAAAGTATTTCAATTTTCAATGTAGGAAAATAATAAAATAATATAAAAAAAAGCTAGTTAAAATAAAAAATAAAAAATATTTTTTGGGAGTGACAAAATTAAATATTAAATATAAAGAGCTTGTTGGATTACTTCAAAATTTTAACTCTCTAAATTTATAGATACTCTCCAAATGATAGAATATGCTCTTTAAAAATAGAGAGTCTCTTAGAGATACTCTTACAACAGCGTGTTGGAGGACTCTGTAATACAAAATTATCAAATGACTTCCTGGAGAAAGAGAATCCTAACAACCAACCACATCTGTAAGCATAAGATGGTCATAAGCAGCAATAATGACCTTTTTTCATGAATAGTTAGTGATTTCATACAGCACACACTTGATTCAACTCAATACTCAAATAAAAAATTATCTTCCTATGATAGAGGTGCTCACTTGTGTAACTGTACCTATTTCTTCTGAGAACGATCCTAAAACTGATATTAAATTTTTTTGTGATTAATCACTTGGCTCATTTCGTATACTCCGAAGACTTGGATATGATGCTTATTTGCAGGATTTGCCATCATACTTACTAATATTCCCTGTTTTCAATGTTATGGATTCATTTCCTCAGTGAAGCACATATGAGTCTCATTTGTTTCTATTGAGACAATATTTCATTCCCATTCCCTATGCTCCTGTCTCTTCCTCGGAAATAATTGTTGTCATTATGGATATTTAGAAAGGCTTCATCAGATGGTGGTCATCATCGATTCCTTCTTCAGAGGAAAGATCATCCATTTATTGATACTTGAATAACGAAAATAGAATTTCGACTTATTGATCTTGATTTCTTGGATGTGCATAGGTCACCGGTGTCAAGTTCTTTTCAGTCAAGAGGAAATGATGGAGATTTATTACTTGAGATGGAAATTATATTCCTATCATGGGTCACTAAATTTAAAAAATACATACTTGTCTTAGGAATAAAATTAGAAAATAATTATTTATTTCCTACAATTATTAATAGTCTTCAAGCAGGAAATTCATTCCATTTGCTTACTCATTGAGTTATAACTTCCGTTAGAACTTTTTACATATAACTAATCTTGCTGAATATTTTCAGTATAATTTAAAATTCTTTCTAGATTTCTCCCCCAAATTCTTCTGCTCTTTTTTTCTCTAACATCAACAATGACTCTAGACACCAACCACTACCCATTACATATGAAAAATATTCTCCACCCGATCTTAACATCAAAGAATTTTTAATTTCACAAAAGATTTGCTTTCTCCAACAAAATTCACATACATGTATAGAAGTCCATGAAATTACATAACTAGCTTGAAGACAACATTCATAGAATAAACAGTTGGCCACAAATAAAACAAAAATTCAAAGATGGAATAGCCCAACACAATTCACATAAAAGGATGGACATCTACCTCAATCTTCTCCAATTTGATGATTCACCACTGACATACACCCGCATTGGCAACTCACAGTTCAAATTCATCTTCTAGCTTCAATTGCTCAGCTGCAGCCTCCTCTTCTTCATCATCAATAGCAAAATAGGGATTGTGCTGCTCAGGCTTGAACTTGTAACCAGTGAACACATAGAAAGCCAATGTTACCAACTCCCCTGCCACCACGCTGGTCCAAAGATATTTGTAAGACGTGATAGTCTCCAGTGCATAAACCGCAACACGTGTAAAGTAAATGTAGCATATCACCACAATGTAGTACTGCCTAAACAAAGTTAACTTCAACAAATTTACAGCAGCCTTCCCGTCCGTCCTTGCTGCCTCACGCAAGTTCTTAATCGACCAAACAATCGGGAAAAGCACAGCACAACAACAAACTACATCGACAAGCAAAAAAACCTTTTTCCATGTCATCCAATCTTGACCATATGGCCCAGTCTCATCAATCACAACCTGTGCAATATTAGCAACAACTTGTAATGGAATCACTATCATCAAAACTTTCTTTTCCTTATCTTGCAAATAAGGCTTCAAAATCGACCACCCAGTCCCAATCAAAACAATCAAAGTAAACAGTGTAATGCCCTTTAGAAAACTGAATATGTAAAACAACACATCCCACCCATGGGCTGACCCGGTTCGCTTAATATAGGACTTATCCTCCGCTTCACACAACAAATTCAATGCTTTCAAGATCACTACCGCAAGCATAAAGAAGTGAATTTTAAAAACAGTCAATCTCTTCTTGTACAAAACATAAATCCAAACCGCAGTAAGAGCAAAATACACTATGAAGAATACGAAATAAACCCGGGGCAAAATAGTCTTTCCCGCCGACAAATAATCCCGTTGGTTGGACTTCCCATTCTCCAAGTTGTACATCACAGACCGTACATTCATCGACACTTGAACTTGCAGAAGGCAATTAGCGAACACCAGGGAGTACTGATCGGCATTTGATTCGGAGTACAGCAGATTAAAGCTCGTGGGAGTAGGGTTAGGCAGTTGACTGAATACTAAAATTTTCTTAATCGATTCCGACTGAAGGGCGCACGTAATCTCCGCATCCTCTATTTGCTGCAGCACGTTGATCCACGAATCACGAGTACATAGAAAGAACCCAACTTTGGACAAGTCAAGGGTTGACGAGTCGGGTCCGGAGAGGGAGATTTGAGTGAGGTTGAGCTCAAGCTGGCCACGGCGGGTGAACCCAAATTCATCGAAGGGGATTATGGGACGACCATCGGATCGGATCTCCGAGTACCGGATCTCGCCGGCAGCGCGTGAAGTGATTGAAATGAGAACAAAGAAGAGGATACGGAGAGACAAGGCCATGAAGGGTAAGTGTCGTGTTGGGATTCTCTCTCTCTCTTTCCTCTTGTTGGTACAGTGCTTTGTTTATGAAATTTTACCTATTCTTCAATTTAACTATTATAAATTTCATCCGCGGTCACTGAACATTCAGATAAATTTCGATTGAGTTACTAAACTTATTTTAGTTTAAAATTCACTACTTTGTCATAAGTCGTCACCTATATTTCAAGCTAACGAAAAATTCTCAATTGACCGCCATACTAATGTTGATCTTTCCGTAGTTGGCCAATCACTACACAAAACACTAGAAATGAAAATAGTAAAATGAAAGTTGCAATAATGCCTTTATAATGGTCGTGTTAAATTACGTGTTGTTTTCATTTTAACATTTTATGGCGTGGCATAGTGGTAAGTTGTATGTGATGTGGAATTGATGCTAATTAATCAATTTGTAATATGACATGATATAGATTGGCGAAATTATAACTATAATTGAAGGTCGATGACCCAATTAAAATTCGGTGACTAAATTAGACAAATTAAAGTTTAACGAAATTGCACATACGCCTGGACATGGTCCGGTTCGGTTCGATTTTGAATTTTCAAGTATTTAATAAATGGAATCGTCGGGTCCAAATATAATTATGGAACCGTTCGAGTTCGTTCTATTCGGTTCCGTACCATAATTAATTTTTTTAATAGATTTCTAATGGTCAACGATCGGTGGTCGTGGTAGGAGGTCGTTGCTTTGATGGGCATTGGAGAGGGGAAGTCGGACTCGACAGTCGATAGTTTTTATTTGGGCATGTAGATGTAGGTTTTCAATTTATCAAATGATTTGGGTCAGTGATTCAGTTATTATCGAATGAAAGTGTGAAATAACCACTGAAAGTGTGAAATTGGAAAGAGAATGATAAAAATATAAAAAGACATAGATATTGGGCTAATAATGAAATTAATAGTATGCCCCAAAAAAATACTCTCGTACGTGCCACTCACCACAGCACCATGCCCAACCGCACCACCGCCACCACCACAGCACCATGCCCAACCGCACCACCGCACCACCGCCACCACCACAGCACCATAGATACAGACACAGCCCTAACAACCCACCACTATTAGCCACCCAAATACCACCAACATCACACCACCTCTGCCTCCTCCATTTCCTCACCCATATCTCGAACCATAGCCCAAAATTAGATTCAAAACCAGAACGCAGCCAACATCACCGCCTACATCACCCATCACCACCACCAACTACAAAGATCGTCAAAATCATTATACAACCTGATCCAAAATCAGATCGCATCAACTGTAGAAACAGCGACATCGGCATCATCGCATAACTCCAAAACGAGATCCAATCGACCAACGTATCTGACTACATCATCTCTGAAACCGTATGTCGCTGCGGTAACGATTGAAAAGAACGACCTTCGCTCTCGCCGCCTATTGTTTCAGATTGACGCCGTCGTGGGCGCCACTTCAGGTAGATGCTCCGGCGCTCTCGCCGCCTATTGCTTCAGAGTGAGCCGTCGTGGGCGCCGCTTCAGGTAGACGCTCCGGTACAGAGGATAGAGTATAGATGGTTTAGAGAAAGAAAGAAGAAAGGGGGAGATAATTAGGGATTATGAGTGAAATTGGATAGGGTAAATACGTAGAATAATTTATTTATTTTAATAATATAATTAATATTTAAAATTTAAATTATCACCTGATTTTTGAAAAAAAAACTATTAAATCTTAATTTTGAATTTGATTGTTTAAAACTAGGATTAGATGTAATTTTCCCAATTAATAATATGATCAAAAAATTAAATCAAAAAATTGAATTTAGAAATTGGGTTGGGCTAGGCTAGTTAGGCATGGACTTGACTTGAGAATTAGAACATTATTCATTAAATTAGTTAATTTGCTAATTTGTTTAGAAAAAATTAAAAAATATTAATTAATTCAATATAAAAAATTTTAAAAATATTTAAATTCGAGTTTTCTGTTCTAGGTCTAGAACCGAGAATCGAACCAAACTCATCGGTTCTCGATTCAGATACTCGTTCGAGTATTTAACATATGAAGAATCGCTCGATTCGGTTCGAGAGTTTTGTACAACCTTAATTGCACATAAAGTTAGGTGGTTGTATAATATTTAATAAAATTATGTATAAGTAAATATGTAAACTCTAAAATATATTTTTTAATGATCACGGGAAACAGTAAAAAATAAGTACTTATTTAAAAAAGTAACTCTTATTTTAGTGTTAAAATTAGGGTTGGACATCATCCGGTTCGATTCTTTTTAAAATCGAACCGAACCCGAATTTTTGGGTATTTAGTAAGTAGAACTGTTTGGTCCAAATTTAATTATGGAACCGTTTAGGTTCAATTCTATTCGGTTTTGTTCGGTTCCATTAAGTTCCTCAGTTTCATACAATAATTAATTTTTTAAATATTTAAAACGACGCTACATAACTAATGATATGTTCAATCTTAATTCTTACAAAATAATGTAGTCCAGTCTTACGTATCTTTTGCACCTCTCTTTGTTGAGTTCTTCATAGATTTGATTGTTAAAATTACGGGAAGTGGAAGATAAGGTGCTCACAATAATGAAGAGGTGTAGTTGGACTTCCAATTTGTGATTTCTTCAAAACTGTAAAAAGGGCATTACGGTAGAATAATAGATTTGGATAAAATTTATGTCAATTTAATTAAGCTGGGCTTTGACCGGAAATTAGAAATAGGAAAAACATATTTTGAGTTTGGGTTAAATTAATTAGTTAACAAATTTATTTAGAAAATAAATAAAATAATTTAACTTATTTAAGATAAATAAATTTAAAAAATTAGGGAGATTTAGTTCTGATCTAGAACCGAGAACCGAACCAAACCATTCGATTATCGATTCAAATACCCGTTCAAGTATTTAACTTAAGAATAATTGTTCGGTTCGGGTTCGATTCGTTTTGGGAGTTTTGTCTAATCCTAGTTGAAATATTCAATAATCTCGGTAGGATTTATATATCTATTAATTTTGACATTAAATATGACATGGGATTGGGATCATATAAGTTTTTAATCCACAAATCCTCTGAACTTCAAGACTCCAGTACTAAAAGGTTACATTGCTGTTGAGAAGAAAGCTAGAGCTCCCACAAATGGAGCATTGATATATGTAGCAGGCTCAGATTGCTGATAATTATCCCTATTATCGGCGAAATTATCCTTATTGTCAGGACCACCTACAATGGCTCCCGAAAGAACATTTGGATCAGGCGAACCCGAGCGCAGGTACTGAAATCCATCGTTGCAGCCAATGCGAGCCGGATGTGCATGTACAGATGGTACAGAGGAACCCCTATGGTGGACATGCTGTGGATACCTTTGCCCGAACCCGACCATATAAGACATTTTTCCTGGATTATCGCCTAGTATATAGTCGACCTGCTTCTTTGCCATCGCCACAAGTTTATCTGCTGTCACGGTTGAAGTCCCGCAGTGGGCAACTCCTTTGTTTGTGTTTAGGTACTTAGCATATGTCAACTGAAGAAATGTTGATGTAGTGACATACTGAAGATTGCTCTCACTTCCTTTGTAGAAAAGTCCTCCTGTCAAATTTTGTTCTACATGAGATAATCAAGCAATGGTAGAAGCTACACAATATTGTAAAATTGTAAGAATTTAGTAGAAATGTTAGGGTGATCCAATCATAGTAATGCAAGAAATTTCATGATAATTCTGGCTTCCTAAAGCCCTTTATACAGTAGGAACATTCGGTCCAGGCAAACCTGGGGTATACTGGGCCTGGAAACTAGGTGATCCAGGAACTAGAGAGCAGAAATAGTTGTCTGAATGTGATTTGAACAATTGAAATTCTTGAATACTGTTCTCTAAGAAGCCCTGTATATGGATGGGAAAGGAAAAAACAGAAACAGTTAATAGCCTGCTGATTGATTCTTTGATAGCAGAATTAACAAGTAAATACTAGGACCTGAGAGAGTAAAACTTTGGTCCCAGCGCGCTTATCGTCCCAACTGAAGGAATAGTCATCTTCATTGGCCCCCAGAGTTTGCCCATTCGACTGAATGTAAGCCAAATACGAGGCGTTTCTAGATGCTTTATGAAGCCATGATGCTCCCCATAAAAGCTCGTCCTAAATCCAAAAATTATGTTTGTTTAGCGAAATATTGACAGTACGATACAGGACAGGAGGCATAAATTGTTTGGCTTACTTGGTATCCTGAGTACGAGCAATAGAATGGACACACCACAGAATTGAGTGTGTCGCTGTAAGAACCTCTGTACCTGTCAGCAAAATCGAACACCTGCACATAGGTTTGAACTTAACTTCACTACAAGTTGCAGTGAGGACTATAGTGTCTGACAATTTTAAGTTCAAAAACTCTTGTTTATTTTGGCTTCCAATTCAATATACCAAATTGCTTACTTTCATGGCAGTGTGTAACAATTTAGCAGAATAAGCAGGATCAGAATCTTTGAACACAATAGAAGCAGCTGCCAATGCTGCAGCAGTCTCTGCAGCAACATCAGAACCTGGACTCTGAGACGACACCTTATACACATTACGAGGTGTGTCCATGTCTTCAGGCCTTTCCCAGCAATGATGATCCATATTTGGATCTCCCACCTGTTGCATTAAGGCCACATTGTAAGCAAAATGAAGTGCTTTAGAGCTCATGCTTTACTCAATTTCTTGGAATTAAGCAATTATTTGTTTTTCATACTTGCACGTATAAGGTGCCAGGGGAGGCTGTGGCTGCTTTTAGAAGATAATCCGTGCCCCAACGCACGGCTGCCTTGGCGTAGTCGAGTTGATTCCCCATTGAGTTACCGAATTCAATTACGCTCCAAGCGAGCAATGTGGTAGTAAAAGCCATTGGCAAGCCGAACTTGACGTTATCTCCTGCATCATAATATCCTCCTACAAGATCAACCTGCAGAAATCCAATTCAAATGAAAAATACATCATTTGAGCACCATTTCTCATCAAACATTATGATGGTACATGATATTACATGAGTAGTGTACAGGCAGTATTACATGATAACCAGAGCCATCGGATAGGCCGGAATCACCTCTCCACGTGAGACGTTGGTTCGCTGGCAGTCTCCCCGACCTCTGTCCCTCGAAGAAGAGAATACATTTCTCAAGTGCACTTGAATAATCATGAGAAGTAAAGGCAGAAGTATATGAAACTAGCAAGACAAGAGTTAAGCATAAGAAGTGCATGTTTAGACAAGCCATTACTTATTTCTACACTCGTAAAAACTAATTGATTGGAAATGACAGAGCTGGTCCCTGTTATATAGAAGGCAGTTGGAGAGTTCGTTAGTGGTTGTGTGAGTGAGAGAGAGTGAAAGGATTCACGGGATCAACTGCGCCAAATCGGACATACTGTTGCAATAAGAAACAAAACGTTATCCAAACGGTGGAGTATACGGACAAGATTATTCTAACTGTAAATTCTCGTGTTTGAAAAATCGTTTTCCTTGTCATTCTTGAACTGCAATGTCACGAGGCTAATATCTGCACTCAATTGTAATTAAGTTAAAAGGCATGTTTGTTACACTGGACGGAACGTGTTTAGTTTTGTGAAATAGGTAACTAATTTTCGTGCCGTTAGACTCAAAACGTTATTAGAATTCGTTTGACATGACTTTTGCTTCCTGTAAAAGAGATTCGGAATGACGCTACCTCAATTTTTGTTTGGAAACTAAACTTCAAATGTGCTTCCTATTCTAGAAGTGCTTTTAGAGGAAGCCACATTTGATTAGTTTCTTTGAAAAACACTTCAAACTAAAAAAACACTTTCATAAAATTAGTCAAACAATTTCAAAAGCAATTTTTGGGTCTCAAAAATTCATTTTGATTTTTCGAAAGTCATGCAAAATGGGCGCTTAGTGGATTAGTCATGTTCATTATACTGTGTAATCTTGAATATACGTATTAATCTAACATGCTCTTCATGTTATTGGGAAACATAAATTACTTTTTCTTTTTGCGTGATTTTCGTAAGAAATACCCCTTCAGGTTTCAACTTGTAAGTAAAGGTGAAAGGCGTAATTGAAGGATGGAATTGTGGTTAGAAGTCCAAAATTAAGGCCAAATTGTCGTACTCATGGAATGTTATTTTGGCTTTTGTATTTGTATAATTATTTTGTCTTCATTAAACATTCACGGATACTCCAATGCTTGTTTCACGTGTTTTCTTAATGAAATAATGAAAAAAGGACACCACCCAAACAGAGACCAGTCAGGGGTGGGCGTAGAAATTTAAAGTTGGGAGGCACAATCGAACTTGTAAAGAAGTTGAAAAAAATTTTACAATCGAAAATTTACGTCCAAGAAAATCACACTCCATGTAATTTTGCATCCGAAAATTTATATGAGATATGACTTTTTCGGATGTAAAATTTTGAAATTTTTTAATATCATAATTCATATAAAATTTTTTAATAAAATGATGAAAATTACATTGAGAAATTTGTATCGCAAAAATAATAAATGTTAATGAAATAATTAATTTTTTTTAAAAAAATGCAAGTTAGACGTTTTTCTATAAGACTCACTATTTTCGATATCTGTTTGGACTATTCGATATGCACATAATGTAGTTCTCGAAATAAACTTTAAGATGACATAAGCAATTTGTAGATTCGATTAGCGTACGATTATTTGAGAATTTTTAAAATTAGCTTGTTATCGAAATTTAAATTTATTGTAATTTTGCCCCTGTTGCTGGAGATTAAAATTAAATTTTTAGCAAATTTTGATAAAAGTTAAATAGTTATGGATTTCATGAAATATGTTATTAGAATTAATTGTTAACTCTGATTTAAATTAAAATTTAGATTTCAATCGATACCAAACATAACTTTAAAAAAAAAAATTCAAAAGTTGGGGGTGCACGTGCCCCCCAGGACCCCCCTGGGTCCGCCCATAGACCAGAGTTATTTCATTTATGAAGTTCCATCCATAATCCATTAATCCTGTAACTTAAAAATAAGTGCTTAATCCACGTTAGTACAATAGAGAAATGAGGCACTTCGATCGTAATCACTCCCCAATTCCTACAATCCAAACACAGGCGAGGTATCGATTTTTAGTACGAGCATGCAAAGGTTCGAATAATTTTACTACACGTGGGGCCTCATTGCGCTCCACCCCAGGGATCGAAGAATTCACAGATGGTCCTTCCATTTCTATTTTGAAAAAAAAAAAGGCATCAATAAGATTCGCTCCTCAACGTCCATCCAAGGACCACGAGGCTCAGCTTGATGGATTGGAAAGAGCTGAAAGAGGCATTACTTCCACCATACTCAAATAAGACAAGGATAACGATAATAACTACATCAGTACAAACTCTTGTTTTTTTATTTCGAAATATTTGCAAAACAACTACTCTATATTGTATTCGGGAAATATGAATCTATAAAATGACTTTTATCGGATATAATAACAATGTAATTTATGACTTTTTCAAATATTTTTATATGGTGAAGCATGTTAGCCAATTTAATAAAAAGTTTAAGTCTCATTAAAGAAGAGTCGTGAATTTCATGTGCCGCCGAATTTATTGCTATAGGTGAATGATTTCCGCGGGAAAGGCAGTAGATAACGGCAACTACTAAGGACTTCTTAGTCAACTAAAACCTTAAATCAACAGGAAAAAGCAGAATTTCTCTGATGAAAAGATTCTCCTTTTTGAATTCTACTTCCTATGACAAAAAATAGAAGAAAGTGGGATTTGAATTTCATGAAAAATCTTACATTCGAGAAAAACGAATTTTACTTGATCGTTTGATTGTAATGTAGAAATAAAAATCGAATTTTAAGGTACAACCACTACACTTTCTTTGTTTTCATGGAAAAATAAATTTTTATGAATTTGGTGAGTTTTTATTTTCCAACTAACATGAAATTGAAATTTCTTTTTACATTTGTCTATCAAACGGACCCAACATCAAAAGATGGACTCTGTGTGTGTGTGTGTGTTTTGGGGACTCAACTTTTTGACTAATTTTTATTTATTTATTTTTTTCCAATTGGAGTTACCGAAAATGGACAATTGACCAGCAGTAGCAAGAAGACAATTATGCTCCAGTTTTGGACTGTTTTCCTTAAGTTTGCAGAAGACCAACGAAGGCTGTCATGGGATTCTTTTACTAGTCATGGAAATTAATGCAAAATCACAGGTGACAAGAATCATTAGTCCTTTTCAAAAAAATAAATAAATAAAATTGGGCTTACGAATGTAGTAATAAAAGTCGAGAATCTACACTTTTTCGTAAATTTAACCAAACTCTTTTCTCAAGGTTTTGGTAAAAATGGTAAAAATGATCATATTAGGACAAATAAGCCTGAATCGAGTGTTGGTTCTTTTTAGGAAGGGATATTCTAATTGAAATTGAACATTTTGAACTTGAATAGTTGATTCTAGTTCTGTTCCAAAGTTACATAAAGGGTTATTGGCGCAAAACGT